CAGTCTCTCTCTTTCTCAGCCTGTATTTGGCCTTCACTTCCTTGCAATCCTTCAATATTTTGTTGTTTATTTTTCACTCAGCTTGCACCATGGATTAGTTGAGTCTAAAAAGATATCAATTACCAACAGTGCAGGTCGAAGAGCACCCCCTTGAAATCGTGGCTTCTCAAGAAGATAGGAGGTTCTTGTCTCTCTAGATAAGGGTCTATGTTCTTGTCTAACTCCTCTTTGCAAGATCTCACCTGTTAGCAATATTGAGTAGAGGTACTCTGTGCTGTTTTATTAGTGGTATTCTATCTGCTTGGTGATAAGAAGAGAATATCTGGTCTGATAAACTGTTGGCAGGGCAGGAACTTGGCAGTAGGATTTATGAGACCAAATATCTTGTCCCTGGCAATTTAGGGCAATGGGGGTTCAAGAACACCTCTGATGATCTGATTCAGAAGGGAGTAAACATGTTTTTTGGAGATGTTTCCTGTTCAGGACCCAGGGGCCAGGGTTGGAGTTGAGGATTATATAATTATAGATTATAATGTAAATGGCATCCCCTGAGTCGGGCAGTACAATGGCCCTGAGTTTGTTGCAGCTATAAAAAATTGAACCAAAGTTTAGGCTACATTATAGTGTTCAGATAATAGGTAGTTATAATCCCCCCACCCATAGTCAACACTGACCAGACTGCATTTGGAATACTGAGCTCAATTCTTAGTGCCAAAGTTTAGAAAGATATGTGTCCATAGGAGAGGGCGCAGATGAGATATATGAAGGTCATGATGTATGAGAATCTGAGAGACTATAACTAAGAGGAGACACAATAGCAGAAAAGGGAATATGGATTTCAATAGGTCAGCACTAAACTCCATCATGACAAATCTAATGACACTTTTCTGTCTCCCTCCTCCTCAGTCACTTCTCTTTGGCATTTAACACTGTTAAATAACACTCTTCTTAAAATTCCCCTCGTCTTTGCTTCATTGATACCAATTGTACTAGTTCAACAGATGGTGAAATTGAATAAGAAGTCCAAGATTCTTCTGTGTGGACACATCTGTGAAGGATAAAGAGGAAAGGGAGCAGGGAAAGGGAGGGAAGAGTTTTAGGCTGCAATGCCTATCTTCATGCCTGCGATGGGAGAGAAAGGAGGGGAGGGTGAGGAGGAAAAGCCTCAGTTTGCAAGGTAACTCTGAGAAAGGCTCAGTCAGGCCAACGGGGAGCCCAGAGCAAAGACTGCCCATTAGGGGAAACTGCACTGAACAGGAATGGTGACTGTGCTGTCGCTGACTGGGAGCATCTGGGGAGAATGGGACCTCTGCATGAATGCTGTGATGGATCCCAAAGGCATGGTGGCTGGAGGCTGTCAGTTAATTACACTTCTCAGAGCAAGTGCTTCCTTGAAGGGAGTCCTGAGTAGTGCCCTCCTATGGCTGCCACACCATTTCACTTCCACATAGCATACTGGGTGCTACCTTCCTGACCTCTTGTGCTAGATCTCTTCCTTTGCTCATATTCTAAATGTTGGGGTTCTCTAGGAAACCATTTTCTGCCTATTTCATACATCTTCCCGACGAGGATTTATCTCAACTCACAATTTCAAATACTACCATCACTGAATGTTAGTGCTAACTCCATACGTTAATTCAGGCCATTATTTTCTCTCATTTGGATTACTGCAAGGATCTCCTAACTATTCTCCCATCTCGTTTCCAGTCTTGCAATCAGTCTCCAATTCACTCTCCATGCCACAGCTAATGGGATATTTCTAAGGCGCAAGTTAAGATCACGCTATTCCTGTGCTGAAAACCCCTCAGTAACTCCTTTTGTTCTCAATAAGAAATCTAAATTATTTAACATGATTTACATGCCCCTTCAAGGACGGATCCCTGCTTACTACTCTAGTCACATCTGTTATTCCCCGCTAAAGAGAATGCATTTCATTTCTTTGAATGTAACCTTCTGACCCATGGTGTGGAGTGTACCTACTTGCCTAATTTTCTACTTGTCTTTTTTTTTTTTTTTAAGAAATTTTATTGGGGAACATTGTGTTTTTCCAGGACCCATCAGCTCCAAGTCAAGTTGTTGTCCTTCAATCTTAGTTGTTTTGGGCACAGCTCAGCTCCAAGTCCAGTCGCCGTTTTCAATGTAGTTGTGGGGGGGTGCAGCCCACCATCCCATGTGGGAATCAAACCGGCAACCTTGTTTAGAGCTCGCGCTCTCACCAACTGAGCCACCTTACCGCCCCTCTACTTGTCTTTTAAGTCCCAGCTTAGAGGTTCCTTCCTCTGTGAAGACTTCTATAATCTGCAAAGACTAGATTCAGTGCTCTCTTACGTGATCCCAGGAACTGGCTGTTAAAGAGCAGGTGGAATTATGATTGTGAATCTACAGAGGGCAGTTAAACATCGCTTTGGTGCTAAATATTGGAAACGTAGTAAGAGGACCAATGTTTTACATATCGAGACTTCTATTGGGATACATGCTACATGAGATAGAAAGGAGTACTATAATAAATAGTTTGGTGTGGGTGATGGTTCTCCCAAGGAATATGATAGGCAAACATTCTTAATCCAGTCACACACCTCCACTTCCTGCCCAAACCCCGGCATTCAGAAATATGTGTGGCCATTTTTTTGTTTTGTTTTGTTTTTGCAGGCAGGCATAGCCCACCGTCTTGAACAGGCAATCTTGATGTTAGGAGCACACACTCTCACCAGCTGAGCCATCCTGCCACCTGTTGGCAGCTCAGCTGCAGCTCAGCTCAGGAGCAGCTCAGGCGCAGCTCACTGGCCCATGAGGGAATCAAACCGGCGACACTGTTGCTCAGAGCTCACACTCTTGAGCAAGCTTTTAACCAACTGAGCCACTCGGCCGGCCATGTGTGGCCATTTTTGTTATTGTTGTTGATGTCAGTATGACTGGGAGCAGCATGGGGGGCAGGAAGGTTAAAATGCATGAGGATAATTCCATACAAGGAAGGATTCTCTTACCCAAAATGCTAATAAAACCTCCACTGAGAAACACTATGCTAAAAGGTATGCAAATGTGGGAGCAGAACTGAATCGCTCAGAGTAACACAGTGGAAGCTGAGGGCTGACACTTCAGGACTTCCATCTCCACCTACTCCCCATGCAGAGTTCTACCTCATCTGTAAATAAATGTTGAGTGCATGCTTTTAAAAATATTGGTTAAAAGAAAATTTTAAAATATATATTGGTTTCAAAAAGAGGCAAATTATTAGCCCGAGCAGCATCTAGTATCTCCTTCTGGCTCTGCTTCCCTGCACCCCATTCTTATCTCATGGTAACGGAATTGTATAAGAACTTGTCTGTACCTCCAACTTGAATTCAGGGATCATGCCCTATTGCATTGCCAGAACCTAGTTTGTCACATGACACCTGCTCAATAAATATTTCTGAACTATGACTCTTAAAATTTAAAAATTAATTCTGAAATCTTTTCTAAGTGTCAATCCTACATATTTATCACTAATTTTACATTTCTAGTTGAACACATCAAATTTACAGGTAGAAAAGAGAATCATTTATCTTGATCCAGTGCTAAAATCCTCCCTCAAATAACCTTATTATGACAAATGCAATCATCTTTTTGGGATCCTCCCAGTTACATGTCAGAAGCCTGCATGTCACCCATCTCTTCCTGCTTCCTCACTTCCCTAAACCTGTTAATTCCATCTCCCAGTTATCTCCTGGGTTCTTACCCTTCTCTTCGTCCTCAGCATCTCTGGCTTTCATTCAGGGTCTCTAAATATACTATTGCATTTGCTTCTTAAACCATATCTCCTTCCTCATCCTCATTCTCACCCTGACTGTTAACCCTTTAAACCATTCTAAAATATATTCAAGATAATAGTAATGAATACTTTATGGGTTTACTGTGGTGCCAGGGACTACATGTCCTTTCTTGTTGACTCTTTATAACAGCCCCAGCTTGAAGTAATTTCCTAAGGACATTCAGTAAGGAGACAGACACAAGATTTAAACTCAGGTAGCCTGGCTCAGAGCTGTGCTAGATTAGGCTATATATAACCTCCTGGAACCTTCTGCCATGTTGTTTTACAAACACGTCTGGGTCTGATTCTCCTCCCCTGGTGGAGGCCCTGGTTGTCATGAGTCTCTTTTGAGCTAGGGTTTGCTCAGTATTCCTTTCCCAGAGCTGTTGGTGTCCTGAAAATGTGAGCAGTGGTTATGTTGAATGTGAGTGGTGGTTGTGAGGTCAATAAGCCGAAGAAGTGGATCCAATGGGTTATTATTAGACAAGAGGTCCTGAGGATGAAACAGAGAGCTGGTGTGGACACCAAGGAATCCCTAAGTCACAGACCCATGAGAGACAGGCTAACAGAAGAGTGGTCTGAATACGCTGGCAACTACTACTGTCCATCTTAGCCTTTACGCACTCCCTACTGTGCGATACTTAATTACATGGGCTGGTACTTTAAGGGGCTGGGGCTAAGTGGCCAGCTTGGAGTATAGCACCTCCCCTTTGTTTGTCTGGCTAACTCCAATGCATTCTTTTTCTTTTTTTTAAAATATTTTATTGGGGAATTGGGGGAGGGGAATAGTGTTGGGGAATTGGGGAAGGGGACCGGCCAAATTGTTGTTCTTCAATCTTCGTTGTAGAGGGTACCAGTCGCCATCTGGCTTCCCGTCAGCAACTCGTGGCCTCTAAGCTCAAGGTGCTGTGTTCAATCTTAGTTGTGGGTGGGCGTAGCCACCATCCCATGCAGGAGGGGAACCAGCAGCCTTGTTGTTAAGAGCACACGCTCTATCTACTAAGCCATCCGGACGGCAGTTCAGCTCAAGGTGCCAAGTTCAGTCTTAGTTGCAGGTGGGCATAGCCCACCATTGAACAGGCAATCTTGTTGTTACACCAGCTAAGCCATCCTGCCACCTGTTGGCAGCTCAGCGACAGCTCAGCTCGTTTGCATGTGGGAATCGAACCGGTGGCCCTGTTGCTCAGAGCTCATGCTCTTAAGCCAACTCTTAACCAACTGAGCCACTCGGCCAGCCCTCCAATGCGTTCTTTGATGCAACTCTTCTGTGTTTCCCACAGTATGTGAGACTGCAAACTCCTTGAGCGCAGGCACCATGGCTTTTCTTCTCTGTATTCTATGCCACTACAATCTAACAATCATTGACTCTAAATGCATTACAAGGAGAAAGATTTTGGCTTAGCGTAAGAGAAATTTTAACAAGTGTTCTGTAAAGCAGAGTACAGACTCGTGGATAAGAGTCTGGCCTTCGTGTCATACTACCTCTGTTCAACTTTCAGTTTTCTGTGTTACCTTGAGCAGCTTAATCTGTCTGTGCCTGAAAAAAATGGAGAAAATAATAACTATGTCATCAGGTTGTTGTGGGAATTAAGTGACATAATACGTGGAAAGTATTTGACTCAGTTCTTGGCAACTTGTAAACACTTCGTATGTTACATATTACTGTTTTCTATTACTGTTATTATGATCATTCACTAACACTATCTCATAACGACACCGGTTGCTTTGGAAGCAGGGAGTTCCTTTCACTGAGGGTACATTAAGTTCTCACTTACACTGACGGTACGTTCAGTTCTCACTTAACGTCCTCTGCCAATTTTACCATAGGTTAATTGTATAAATAAGAGTTAAGTTTGAGGACCTGCTGTATTCAAGCAGCAGTAAACCCAGGAGAGATGCCGTAGAAGCAGTTCTTGAATAAAAAAGATTAGATGATTTCTAAGGATGCATCTAAACATAGAAGAGGGAAGCTACTTCTCTGATTCAAAGCAAGTGTGATCATTAGTGTTACTTGCAGCAAAGTTAAGGAGTGTTTAAAAAAAAAGACATCGGAGTTTGCTATGTGTATATATCACAAAGGACAAAATATTTTATTCTTTGTAAGCAGTTAATTGCACAAGTCTTTTTATTTATGTTGAAACCATTTGCCATATTTATATAGTTATATGGTAAATCAGGCCCTACATGAAAATCTATCTCTTTTCAAGAGGGCTGCCTTAGTCCTGCCAAAATGGAACAAACAAAACTTTCAAGACTATTCCAACACTACTGAAATGTCTTTTCCCTTTGAAAGAAGTCTATTAGTGATGCAACTGCAAAGTTATCTGCACAGATGATAATCCCAGCAAACAAAACAGTGAAACCATTAGAACGCTCTTGTGCAGCATTCAGTCCTGAGAATCCTGAGAATTTGGCATTCTGGCATTAAAAAGGCAGAGAAAAAGAGCAGAACTGGTTCCTGTTTGGGATAGTTTGTTAGGTCTGCTTATCTGAATCCTGGGCTAATTATCCTCATGCTTGTCTTAAAAAGGCCAAACAATTCTACAAATGTGGACAAGCAGAAGGAAGGCCTGCACTCTGGGTGCTCAGCAAGTGCCTTAAACAGGCAAATCCAGTAATTTAATTCTCAAGACATCAGAGCCTTAAGGTAGATCCATCTAGAAGAAATCCAATGATAAGTATTCATAGGGCAGCAATTTAAACAATATGCTTGTATTATGAATGCTGTAAAATATTAAAAATTTGAAATTGAAAGGCTACTTGTATAGGTGAAGAGATGGTCATGTTCCAACATCTTTTGGTCAATAGATACTCAGTAAACAACTTCTCTGGGAATTTAGTAAATATGCAATCTTACTGTAAGCAAAAGGACTTAATGTATGAAGCAGTTAACCGTAAGTAGTTAACTCCACTATTGATGGAGCATATTTATTTTACCCCTAACAGGTTTGATGAGATCTAGTTTATCAGGCGCCAGCAAGCACTAGGGAATATTAGTGATCAGAAAGGTGTGGTGCTTAAAGGTATTAGGAAAGCACTTCTAAAGCAGCAACACTCCAAAGTGGTATTGCCGAAGTGGCCATCACCTACTTGATGAAAGCTTTCGGAAATACGAAGTGGGCAATTGATGGAGAACAGAAAATTAACTCTCCATAGCCACATGCCTTCTTGGACAGGTATTAACAGTTGGCACTGATGTCCACATAGATTGGATGTAATGCTCAAAATCTGGGTCTTAAGTAGGGTGGGGCTTTGAGTAGGCAAACTGAAGAGCTTCCGGATCATCACGTGTTTACATTTCAGGTGCAGGAATGGAACTTGTCCACGCTCCACCCTCTGCCACCTCTCCTTTGCAAGGTTGCTCTGCAGCTTACAGTCTCCGCCCGGGTCTTTGATAATCCAAACGTGTCTGGTGAGAAGGTCAATCACTGCTTCTGTCCTGTGCTCTGCCTGCCTCCCACGCCATCTACACCGGCTGGCTAGCTCTCGGCTGCTTCCCAAGCTCTACCCACTCCACGCGCCTCCCTGGCTGCCCTCCTGGCCTGTCCTCTTTTGCAGGCTAACTCCAAGGGCCCGAGTTGTCAGGACAAGCACCGCTCACTTTTCTCAGGGCAACCCCTTCTCCCGCAATCCCAGAAGGTCTGTGGTACTCGGCTGTGTCCTATATGTAGCTGCTTCTAAAAAAGCAGTTTGGGACATTGGCTGTCTTGCAAATGAAAACTATACTACCTGCTCAGGATTGGGACCTGATCTGGCACCGTCAAAGTCTGGGAATCAGAAGCGAATAGGAGTAACTTTCTGCTTGTCCTTCCCGCGGTCCCAGGAAGGCAAACCTTTTCTGACCTCCTACTGCTGCGGTCGGGCGCGACTCCGCGCCCGGAGACGCTGCGGCGGTTCTGTTGGGGTACCGCCGGGCCGCCAGCTGCAGCCGGGCAGGCGCGCCCAGCCTGAGCGCGCACGGGTCGGACGCGCGCGAGGCCCGGGAGCGCTTCCTCCGGGATTGCGGCTGCGCAGTCGGACTGGAGCCTGGAAAAGGGGGAGGAGAGCGGAGGAGAGCGGAGGAGCCGGAGTAAGGGGAGGGGGAGGAGCGGCGAAGGCGGAAGCCATGTTGGAGTTTCACCCCGAGCAAGGGGCTGCGAGCGTTCTCCTCTCCCTGTGGGTGTGACCCGGGTTTTCGGCACGGCTGCGGGCAGCGGGGAGGGCGGGGACGGTTAGCTAGGTCGTTGTCGTCCGCAGCGGCGGCTGCGTGAGGGGAGCGGCGGCGGCCGCAGCGTGGAGCCGGGCGATTGTGACCGCCGGGGGAGCAGGGGGCCGGCAGCGGCTCCCACTCTCCGTGTGGCCCCCTGAGCGCCCCCCCTCCCCTGCCCGGGAGGGAGGCGGGGGGCACCCGGGGCCCGCCATGAACCCCGGCTTCGATCTGTCCCGCCGGAACCCGCAGGAGGACTTCGAGCTGATTCAGCGCATCGGCAGTGGCACCTACGGCGACGTCTACAAGGTAAAGGCGAGGGGCCGAGGCCGCGGGGTCCGGACCCGCGGCGGGGAGGGCCGGGGGCGCCACGGAGCTTGGGCTTTGAGTCCGCGCTGTCTCTCCGCGGGAGACACTGGCGCCGGGGAGCAGTGGGGGAGGAGGCGGAACGGGCTCCCGGGGCTCCGATGCCTTGGAGCGAACAAAGGGCCAAACGGTTAACCTCGAGACCTCCAAGGTCTCACCTGAGCTCTCCCCTGGACGCGCGTTTCCCGGGAAGGGCTGACCGCGAGCGGGCAGCTGCTCCTCGTAGCGCAGAGAGAGGCTGGGCTTTTGTTGCATAGGCAGGGTCAGTGCGACGAACCAGACAGCAGGGGTTTGGCGTATGTCAAACCTGCGTGCTTCAGACAGACCTGGCATTATCCGCTGCCGGCTGGGAACTGCTGCCCACCCCGCCCCGCGGTAGTTATTAGGCTCGGCAGCCTCCGTACATAGCATAGCCCCTTAACCTTCAGTCTCTTAGCATCCGCATACTAGCTTCTTTAAATTTTCTGAGTAATGGCTTTCTTTTGTAAAAGATCTAGTTAGCATGATTTTTTTTTTTTAAGGAAAGAGCAACTTTGTTTTCTCCAAGTCGAACTGGACTTTGATGCCTTATTAAACTTGTTTTTGTTCAGTGACACATAGGATTCATTCTTTTTGAATGAATTGAGTACTTCGGAAAGGTACTGGTTTGACAAGGTTAGAATTCAAAGCCCATGAGTAGTACAGCATTCCTGTTGTAGAGGGACCACTTCTAAATGTGGGAGATAAATCACGCTTCCCTGGCCAGCTCAACTCTTTGGCCTCGCAGAGACTGCCAAGAAGAGAGGAGGAGAGTGCCAAATGTGGCAGCAGTCTTGATTTAGTCGTGTATCTTCTTACTGGTAACTGAAGTGGAACGCCTCCTGTTTCACATAACACCTGAGGATGCACAAAGAAACTTAATTTGACTTTGAAAAGTTGACTCTTAACTTTATTTTGCTCGTGTTTAAGCCATAGGTTTTTACTTTAACTCCAATGCAATGCATATGGTGGTAACTTGGATATTTCATATCGTGCAGCCAGTATTCTGCGTTAGTATTGTTTTGTGGATGGTTAGCCTTCCACCATCACTTACCCATTTTCCCCATAGACAGGTGTATTGTGCACACCTGCTATGTATAAGGTACTCTGCATCCAAGCACTTGGATTGTAGCAGTGAAAGACATATTCCCAAGTCTTATTTGGAGTTTATATGTTTTTGGACAAGAACAACATTAAACAACCATTTAATAATTATTGCAGTTTTATTTTGTGCTGCAGAGGAGAAGAGAGGATTAGGATTAGGGTTATGAGAGCATGTAACAGGAGGACCTGATCTCCTTTGGGGAGTCAGAAGCAATGGGGAGAGGGGATTATGCCAGATAGATCGTAATCTGTGAAGGCTCTGAGGCCCGAGCCTCAGAGTCTTTGAAAGAATGACCAGAATGATGGTATGGCTTGAGCAACCAAAGAGGGATGGCCCTAGATTATGCAGGCCTCTTAGGTCTTGTAATGAGGTCAGACTTCTTAGGACAACGGGGAGCCATTGCAGGGTTTTAAGTAGGGGAGTGAAATTAGAATTGGATTTTTAAAAGATCTACCTACTGCAGTGTAGAGATGGGGTTGGGGGGGGGGGCGAGTAGCCATTAGGAAGCCATGACAATAATTGAGGTAAAAATAACCATTATTGGGTTTTGGAATGGGGTGATTATAAAAGTTGAAGTGAATGGATCCAAGTAGTTTACAACAGGTTAAGGGAGTCTAACTGTGTTTAGATGAAGTTAACTAAAACTTTGCTACTGTATAAGTCTTAGGTGGCGGGATGTACAGTAAGTTCTTTTTCAGTTCTTTACGAGAATAATTGGCCAGTATTTATTATATTTAGGGGAAAAAAGCTGATGGTAGTTAAGCCACATGATTAAAAAGTAAACAAATTAAGGCCTATAATTTCCTAAGGACATCTAAGTGCAATACATGTACAAGTTGATTAATCTTATCATCTGTTTAAAATAATAATAAAAACTAACATTCACAGAGTGCTTATTACTTGCCAGGCACTGTTCTAAGATTTTTCCATGTATTAACTTAATCCTCACAACAACCCTATGTAATAGATACTGTTATTAACTCCATTTTGCAGTTGAAGAAACTGGGGCACAGGGAGGTTACAGTAACTTGCTAAAGTTGGTAGGTGCAAAGCCAGAATTCAAACCAGTTAGCTTTTAGAGACTGCATCCTTAGCCAATAGGCAGCACTTCTTCTGTAAAGATAGGATATGGGCAGATGTGTTACTGAATTTCCAGTGGAGAAACTGAGGTACATATTTAGTTCAGCATTGTAGTTGTAGCCACACTCGGAGTTATAGAGGATCTTTAAGTAGTAGTTGGGATACCTAACTCCTGCTGTGCAGCCAGGCCTCACTGTTGTTTTTGTCATCCTCCAAGCGGACATCAGATAATAGATGCTTGATCCCTGCCAGCCAGACTCTTCCAATACCAGTGACCCAAAGCAGAAAAACTCCATGTGGTTTTTGGCATCATACGCCCTGCTTGCTAAATAACCCACAGTTTAAACTATTTGTATTTTTGTCTTTAATCATGTCATGTTATAAAGATAACATTTTTTGTAATTGTTTTGCTGTTTTAGATTTTTCTTATACAAATTGTGTTGATTAGAGAGGAGTGAGTGCATTAGAGGGTTTGTTTTTAAAAGCCAGTATATCTAATTTTGCATCTTAATCTGTCAGGGTTTAGGTGCTAAAAATGGAATGATTGGATTAAGGAAATACTTAGAGACCTAATTATTTATAGTCATTCTTAGAAGGTTGGTGTTTTAAGGGATTTTTACTTTGAAAACTGTATCTTACCCAGTGTAATAATGTGTTTATTATATTTAAGGTGGCATGGTTTAGTTAAAAAGTCACTGAACGAGCATGTGGAAGATCTGGAATTTATTAGCTATGTGGCCTTGTAAAATCATTTAGCCTCTCAGAATTGTTTTGTTGTGAAGGTATTACCATCATCTGCCCTTCTGCTTATGATGTTAAATAAATGACTTGAGTTTTACTCAACAAATAAGTCCTCTCCCCCACCCCCGCTAAAAAATGCAACTATGTATTTCTTCTGCACTGTCTTAAAGTATATGAAAATAGTTTTTTTTTAATTATGCTTATTTTTAAATGTCCTGTAACTTAGCAGACTTTAACTGTCAGTGAGATGAAGTATGTGTAGCAAGAGTTACCTAGGGACCTAGGAGTTGACAACTAGAGAGCTCTGTGTCTGGTCCTCAGGAGGCCCATGAAGTCTCTGAAATTAATAGGCTTCATGTTGATGTGTGTTTTTCTGGAGAGGCAACTTAATAGCATTCATTACATTCTCAAAGAAATCAGTGATCTCCAAAAAGAAAAGAACAAATGATCTGTAGGTTTGTCATTTGAAAGAGTATTCTTGGAGAAATTAGGTAGTTTGTTTTTGTTTTTTGTTTTTACCAGATCATATTATCACATTTATCAATATTAATACGATTTTTACATGCATTTTGCTCTTAGGCAGTTTTCCTGTTTAATTTGTATTGTTCCTACCCTTAAAATCTAAATGTCCTGCTGTTTTTCTAGATTTATTGCTAGAGAGAAGCAGAAGGTACCCAAGCTGGAGATAGGTAAGGCAAAGGATGTTTTGAAGGACCAGTCTTACTGTGATTCTCAGGAAGCATCTTACCTAACCAGTCTCCTGTCTTGAGCCTAGTCGGTGCGAACCATGCCCCTGTGGCTGCAGCCTTGTGCGTTCTCCTGAGCTTAGCCCGTTGTCTCCAGCTGACCTTCTTACGAACTCCATCTTTCTCCACATGTGTACCTTTCCTCATATCCCACTTTTGCCAAACGCCCAATATTGACAATTTGCTGATAAGGCTTGCCGCCTTGGCATTCGTTATCGTCCACTTCCGGGCAGGACTTTGTAGGCATTTTCCATTGTGTGGCTGGGATGCTCCAGGGAAAGCAGTGCTGTGGGTATACTGAAGACTGAGAATGAGAAGTCCTGTGGTCAAGAAACCTGTTCAACTTTGCTTAAACCAGCAAACTCCAAGCTTACTTAACTACGGGATTTTTTTTCTCTGTAATAGTAGTGCGTGTCCTCAGAACTAGTTAGTGCCTTGTAGAACATGCTTTGGAAATGTCGATGCTGATTTTATCTATGTATGTTTGGAGGCCGTTTCCTCTGAAGCAGAAGCTGCAGTGTTGCTAACCTCTCGAGTAGAGTTCACATGGCAGTCTAGAGACACTTGGGAGTTTCTCTGAAAGCTGACAGGAGAAAAACGGAAGATTTAACCGTGAAACCAGGAAATTAATTTGTATGTTAAGTATTTAGTGAATTATGTATTGGCTTATTTGTAACTGCATCTTTCAAGGTGTTCTGAATAATATCAAGCACTCATTGTTTTATTATAGTCAGGATTTATAAGAATATTTCTGGAAAACTCAGTTCTGAAACCTCACCTCTGATGAGGGGCATGGAGACCTTAAGCATTTAGGAAAGAGCAGCTGAAGGAAAAGAAAACATGATTATTTGGGGTTATGCTCATTTTGACTTCCATGGAGAATGAAGTCTAAAGGGGCATTCAGAGGAAATGGTCCTAAACTTTGGAAAGATTGCTTGAATATTTAAGGTAAATTAAGGTAGAATTTCCCAGCAGTAGTTATTGGAGACGAAAAGTGACAGTGGAACAGACTGTGGGATAATTTCTCTAGAGCACTTTAAAAAAACAAACAAAAAACCTCAGGCTATCTGATTTTGATGTGGATCTGATTTCCTGAAGTAAATACCTCCCAGATTTGATCTGTGTATATACATTTACTTGTAAAAGAAAATGTAATGCATTATTTTGTATTGAGAATGAATAGTTGGTAGTTCTCCCTTGAGAGTACATTGAACAATCATCCTACATTGAATATTTATAATATGAAATGAGATGTATTAGTGGAAATGTGTGGGTGGAGTAGCAAAAATACCAAGACTTGGTACTAGGTATTTACAGGGACATAAAATGTGTACCTACTTTTAGTTGTCATAGCTTGAGATCAAAACCTTATTGATTTCTTCTTTTCTCGCATGTTAAATCTCTTACTGTCTGAGACATTATCTAGACATTCATGCATAACCTGGACAACCGACCTCTTTGTAGCATAGCCAGTTCAGAGCTGGGTTCTGGGGTCAGTCGGGCTGGTTTCACCCAGCAGCCAGTTACTTAATCGGCCTCTCTGTGCCTCGGTGTCCTCAGTTGTAAAATGGAGATGCTTAGAGAACTGCTTAGAGCAGTGCCTGACAGAATGCTCAGTGATTGTTAATTGCTCTTAGTATCTAGTATTATTTATTATTAAGCATTTTTCCTGTTCCTGTCCTCCTAATCTACCCTGCCCCTCATGCTTCTGCCTCAGGATA